AGAGACGTTTCACGATTAAATGATGACGTTGCCATCCCATACATAAACGCTACCCCACAATTTATCCCCCCATCAGAGCGTAAGTAATGACAAAAACGTGTAATGTAAATCGACCAAGGACCCCTTTACGTTGTTTTAATGTGTGTCGCGCGTGAGGCTCGCAAAATGTGCACACATAAGTGAAATGTGTAATAAAAATGATAAAAGTGTGTACAGAATCAAGTTCTCTGTTCCCAAGTATCTTAGCGTCTGAATGAATAGCCTCAATTCACTTATTTAGTGAACTGTATTAAATCAGAGTTTTTTTGGCATAGGCCCTCGAATATAGATGAGATTAGTCCCAAATAATTTTAATATAAAATGAAATAGCATATAGGAGCTGGGAAAACTGCATTAAACCTGTTTCGTTATAGATAATAACTGAGATTTAAGCACAGTGCAGAATTCTTTCACTTGCAAATATCACTTACTTCTCGAACAAAACAATTCGTGTTCAGCTTGCACATAATTTATTTTAATCTGCTTGTAACGACAAAAGAATAATATATCATCACAATATTCCCACTAACGATGCAGTTTGCAACAAAACTATTTGGCGCCGGTTCAAGCCATAAATTTAATGAAAAGACATTATCCTCGACTTGATTCGCGTATCATGTTATATCATCTGAAATGTAATTTGATACTTATTCAGACTTGATTAATTATCTGTTAATTTGTTCTGATATAATTGAAAATTTCAGTCCTTAAACTTTTATTCTTAGTGATAATGATCATCATAATTCCAGCTTATTTTAGCCCACTGCTGAACATAAACACCCCCCCCATTCCTACTTTCATCAAAAAGATGTTGCTGTGCCTCTCTAGATTCTTATTTCTTTGGGCGTTCTGCACTTTTCAATTTAACAATCGAATTAATAATATTGTAACACGCAGAAGAAACGAGAAATCATATAGCTCCTAGCCCTGACGAAGCGATCATGAATAGGCGATACTATCTGATGATGTACTAATTGATTCTGTTGTCGTCTCGTAGTAATTATTTAGTGCCTCGCATATGCTAAGCCTGTCACAATACCCGCACAAACGTAATACAGTGACTTTTTAAGAAGAAATACTTTAACGTGAAATTATTTTGTAGACGTATGCCCCGAACGGGCAACGGCATGCACAAGTACTGGCCACCCAGTAAGGAGCAAATCGACTGGAGTCGGTTGTGGGCAGCGTGGTCGGCCGCAACGACCGATCGCCTTCCTCCAGAACGATAGTGAGCTTTACGACTTCACTCTACTTCACTTCTCTACTACGACTCCCGGGAGATACCTGTCTCGCGGAATATTTCATAGATGTGAAAATAACAGACGCTCACAATGTTTTCCCCGTGTACTTTCGAACCCACAAAACGATATTAGTAATTAGCAAGATAATCATATAGAGCACTAAGTATTCATTACAACCAATTGTATTCATTCATACTTATTTCACTTTTCCAGTTAAAAAACTCCAAACCATTCAAAAGTTGAAAAACCGTACGAATCATCCACCTCGGATCGGCCCTTTAATTCGATAATGACTTTACTTTGCCAATAAATATTTTGTTCATCGTCATCCTCCCTCCCTTCGAATTGGTGGAACATGTGAATCGTGCTGATAGTGGTATGGGACATTTTTTAACAATCGACATTAAAAACTTGTCCTGTGGAAATCGAACCCACGACCTCAGATATCGAGAGTAGATATACTTATAGATAAAGATATGCTTATAGATATAAATATACTTATAGATATAGAAATAGCTTAGCAATTGCGCCTCCGAGTCATTGAACGCAGTCTGTAAACCATCGGCAATGTTAGGTATATAAACCTTTTGTTCATTAATTTTTAATTCCATTATCAGGCGATTCAGATGTCTTATGGAGCTTAGAGGGGAGCCTGCTCGACGTGCTCCTTCGCAGTTGCAGTAGCGACGTAGCCACCCAAGTGAAACAGGTCTTTGCAAGCTCGCGCACTAATAAAAGTTGAGTTCCTTACCTGCATGGTACAAAAAGATCACACCACAAGAGTTTTTCTTTTGACGTATGAGTTAAAGTGGAGTTAAATAGATTGCAGGTGGAAGGTGGCAAGCGAGCTGGCGGTTCACCTAATGTTAAGTGATAACCGCCGCCCATGGACTTTTGCCACACCCGTAGGTTTGTTGATCCGTTGCCACTTTTTATAAAGTGGGCCTCGGCTACCTCAACACTAGACGAAACGCGGAAGTATAACACTTCTACGTTGCGTGGCTCTACCACAGTTCTTTCGCCGGTTCTTCTCAGGTCAATGGCTCTTCTTTTCTGAGCCGTTACATAGTGTACATTCAATCGAATATACACTTTATACCAGGATTAGTTAATTTTGAGTTATTAAAGTAAATAATTATTTAGTGTAACTCGCCTATTCATTGTATTCTAAAAGCTATTGAAACTAATTGAATAGGAAATATACAATAACGTTTGGGTAAGAGGCCCCTTGCATTATACACAATGTAATTACAACAGCTCCGCCGCGCGGGCGAATTGTTATCCATTTTTCCAGGGTATATTCATGAGGTCCAACACAATCGGGCGAAATGGGTCGGAAAGATAAATTGAGCGGGGGACAGGTGCGCCGGCGGTCCGCCTCTCAATCCGTGCGGTTATAAGCAATCCTTCAAAATCGTAGCGTGACTAAACCTATGGGCTACGTTGCGTAGTGCTACGAGTGTAGCGCTACGACGCGTAGAGCGCGTTTCTTTTTCTTTTTTTTAATGTGAAAAGTTGCCAAGCGAGCAGCCGGTTCACCTGATGTTAAATGAATAATGCCACCCATGAACATCTGCTACACCCGAGGATTACAGAGGCGTTGACAACCATTTGAAGATTGGGCTCTGGCTACCTCACTCATCAGACAACAGGCGAAAGTATTTGTCATACTTCCACTTTACGCCGGTCTTCTGTGATGTCGTGGTACTTCCATGGGGGTGCCTGCCCATTTGTGCAACAGCAGAAGCTGTTGCTTGGGCCTACCACAGTTAAAAAAATAATGAATAAATGAATGGGCACACAACGAAATAGAAGTACCTGAGTCTATTAAACTGAATCCAGTTATTATGTTTGTATATTATTATCCAGTTATTATGTTTGTATATATATATTGTTATGTATATTTATATTATACCAATATGTTCTAAAAGAAACTTATACGGTAGCGTAGAATGTAATAATATTTTATAGAACACCTCAACCGTGACAACGAATTCAAAACTCATCTGAACTCACGATCTGAAATCGATAAATATAGTTAACATACGCTACAACATAACTTTACCGTCTGATAGTTTTTCTGTTTTCACCTATATTGTACATACATTTGAAAAATGTTGCATCTTGCCTTTTATATTCGAATCTGTACTACGATAATTACTTTTTGGTAATGAGTAATACATACAGATACTTTGTTCGACAGAAACGAATACGAAATCGTCGTCGGTGGGAGTTTTTACATCGCTTCATGCCGATGGCAAGTCTTTTCAGACGGCATTCACTATGTTGGAATCGAATGAGGGTAATTTTTTCTTACATAAATGAACGATTACCATATGCATGCGTAACAATTGTTGCGATATGGTTTTGTTTGCATGTGGTAATGAAAAAAACGATAAATAAAATAAATAAATAGAATAAATAAATAAATACTTAGGACACATTCTGACACAACGTTCTCTAGTCCCAACTAAGCAACGTTTATACTATGGGTACTACTTAACTGATAAACATACTATATATAAATATTGAAATTGAAATTTTACAATGCTGTTTAAATAATTAGCATTATAATTTGAATTTTATTTTACATTAGAATGCTACTTCTCTGGGATGTAGCAATTTTGGTCGCTTATGGATGAGTATGATGAATTAAAAGAGATGGCCCAGACTTTAAGCTACGATGATGCTATTACTATTCATGCTTAAACATTCTCTAGATAAGCTCATTTTTTAGCAATGGGGACAGTGCAACCCTTGTAGAATTATACTATCGTATACTAACTATACCGGGTCGTTATAGATTAAAGATCAATATGGAACACCAATATCGAAGAAAGATAAATATGAGTAAACCCTGAATAGCGGACTGGTGTATTTACTGCCTTATAAATCCATATTTTAGTTCCTGCAATTGCTTACTCTCTTACACAGACTTAACTAAAGTTTATACGTTTTATGATACACACAGATGTGAAGGATGACTTTGAACCCACCACTTCGACAGGTGTTTGTACGTCACGTCACTTAGTCGAGGTATCGGTACAAACAATGACTAGGCAGTTGATAATAAAAGGTACGAGTATATTCTATATTTTATATTTATTTTAATTTTAAACGAGATGAAAAGTTGGCAATCGAGGTGGTAATTTATCCGATGTAAAGAAATCATAACTAATAATGACAGTGGCTCAGGATCGTCCTTCATGGCAGTCTGTGGGGGAGGCCTGTGTTCAGCAGTGGACATATACAGGCTGAAATGATGATGATGGTGATGATGGTGAAAGAAATCACCGCCGTGATAGGACATCTACAAAATTCGCAAATGCATTGCCTTCACAAACGGTGGGCACCAGTTACCTCACTCACCAGATGAAAACCGAAACTCCCACCTTGACGGTCTTCTGTGAGGCCGTGATACTTCCCCAGATGAGCCTGCACTTACTGGGCAGGCTCACCCCATAGAAGCTGCCGTGACCCTACAACAGATAAGGAATATTATCAATATTTTCCTTGCAATAAAATTTGGTTTGAAATAACTCGACCTCTTTAGTTTAACTTTTACAAACAACTAGATAAGCAGCAAATAATAACTGTAGATAAAGGCAAATATCTGAAAATAACTGCCCTTAATACAAAGGCCCAACAAAACTACTTTATAATAAATAACAAACTATGTTTTAAGGCAATCATCAATCTGTAAGCGGAAACAAAGAATATATGGCAAGTGTTATTCCGATTTATAAGAAAACTGTAACCGTGGAAAAGGAATTCAATAAGGACAAACCCAAGCAAGAACTAAAACAAACACAACGTAGTGAAGGTGATAGCAAATTTGTTTACAATACTGAGATCGTCTTTCTTATCAGAACTATGTCACACAAACTCTCCATCGCACTGAAAAGAAAACGGTTTTAAAACTATTTTATGTATAACTTTAAAATGTAAATATTATGTAAAAAATAACGCTTTAATCTCTTAATCAATCGTTTTCAACTGAAGTTAAGTGATTGACGCGGCCAATGCACATATTCAACAATAGACCCCCTGTTACCGCACTGATCGATGAAATACAAAAATGTAATACTTCATGCGGGTATTCTCTCGTGTCTTCAGTAGAATATCCTATCTATATATAACATCAAGTGTAATATGGAATGTTCCATATGGACCATGTTTTGTCTGTTAAGTTATTGAGCATAATATATTATGTGTAATAACAAAATTACAAAATTGCATTTACCATCTCACACGTCTCACCGAGTTTTGAATTATTTTAAACGAACTTCACAGAAACCGCTTTCTACTCACACAAGATTTTAATTAAAATTCCAGCGGAGCCGCCGCAAGCAACAAGTGCACCCAATGAACTCGCGCTAGAATGCCGTAATGACCGAGGGAAAATTGTGAAGCCACTAACGATTACGAAAGGTAATATGAACAACGGTGCTACAAAACAATTTACAATACACCAACCTGAAAAATGAAATGTTATTGCAGAAACTGCACCAGAGGTCGTGAAACGGAACGAATCGGATAGTCAGAACAAAGGTAACGCTGCCTCTCTTTTCGTAGCAAAGTACTTGCACAACAGCTACGGAATTGACATTTCCACTCATTTCTGCTCTAGCTACGCCAAGCGCTACGACGAGCAACGCGATACACGACTCGGATTTCAGTTTCCGGTTAAAAATGGACGGTTCGAACGGGTGTACGATATTGATTAACATTAAATCTAAGCCCACGGATTAGGTAGGCTTTGGCGTTCAAACGTTGTGCGTGACGTCATCAAATGTAAGCCGACCAAATGAAGATGAATTGTTATTTTCAGCGACGAGCGTGAGATCATTCGTGAAGAAATGCAGATCTTCCAGCGCGATCACTTCGCGTTTCATATTTCCGAGTGCAACGTTGCGAGTCAACGCCAACCACAGATGCGTGCAAGGAACAGGTATTATTTTATTTGCCTTGTACCCTACAGTGCAAATATTAATAAACTATTAAAAATTGTCACACACCAGTATTTCACTGTCTTGCAATAAATATATCAATATTTGTTCCAAGATGAACCCTTAGAGGCGGAATTATTAAGTCTCTTTCTTTGTATGCCCCAGTTTAGCTGGTACCCTTAGATCATTCACCTAACACATTTCTTTCTTTATGCCGTATAAAAAAGTAGGCTATAGGAGGACATATGTATATGCTGAAGTTAGACTTTACAACAGAATTAGGAAATTGGAAAATATTGTATTTGTGTTGACTTAAGTAGGGAATAAAATGTAGAATGTAAATCAGGAGGGGCTTTTTAAATTAACTGTATCACATTTTTCCAAAATAACAGCGAAGAAATTATAAATATAGGGTTTTAAGTGACAAGCCAACAGACGACCTGACAAATAGACAAAACATTTCTTTGGGTTCGGCAATATCCACATCTCACTATATTAGATAAATAAGAAACTTTTTATTGGTACAATAATGGTATTAAGCAGAAAAAGTTTTGTTTGAATTTTGTAACCTTCATCGTATTGTTTCTGAAGTTCCCAACTTGCGAAAGTATTCTGTAGGAGCATTTATCGCCAGTGGTATTTTCTGATCGAAACAACTTTCAAGATCAGTCTTAGTCAAGTGGCAGAGGTCGCATCGTAATTCATCTAGTTGTAATGTTTACAACACTTTGATGAACAACTTTGAAATATGAATGATCCAATCCAATGCTATAATGCTGCATTTAACTGGGAAGTAATGGCAGATAGTCCTAAAAAGATAAAGGAATTAAGTAAATACCAACTTTTAATAACAGATGTTACTTGTAAGTAATTTTCATTGTAAAATAAGATACGAATATGGACAAAAGTATTCCATAAAACCAATTTGCTACGAATACAATAATTATTTTTACCAAAATGTTACCCCCCTGAGCCGTGATAGCTCAGTGTCCGGGCGCTCGCCTTTAATTCAATATACTCGAGCAACCTGAGTTCGATCCCCGGTGCCGGCACCAATGAAGTTTTTTTAACTTTAAGTGCTGACTTATCACGTGCTCCGCGGTGAAGGAAAACATCGTGAGGAAACCTGCATATTTTCGAAATAATAACAAAAAAAAAATATTTTTCGAAGATATGTGAAGTCCGCCAATCCGCAGTGGGGACCCCCTTAAGTTCACGAGACATTGCAAACTAAAACAATTAAATGAAAATATATAAAGCCAGAGCAAGAATACGCCACAAGAAAAACGTAACAACTGACATCAACACGACAATTACAATCAATCATGAGACAAGAATGAAATAAAACCATTTTATTGCCTATTTCATTTTTTATCTTGCCATAACAATCGACGGGCAAGAGGTGCTTGAGGTCCTGATGCAGTAGCTATCTCCGCTACGTCCAATTTTACTCATTTTTTTTACGATCTATCGAAAACCAGCTAACGTTTAGAATTTCATGTTTTACAAGTTCATGATTTACGCGTGAATAAGTTTTTGGAAAGCTGATTATTGTTTTAACTGAAGTAAGATTATATATTATTAATTTATGGATAATATTTTTCAGATTGCCTATTCGTTTACGACCCGCCGCGTTGTTTTGTCCACACAATACAAAAAGACGCGTCCGCACAAATCGTGCAGCCGATAATATCTAGTAAGCATAAACAACTTTTAGTATGTATCTTAGTGCACACATGAATAATAATAGCCTATGTAATACCTTCACTCGACCGAAAATTGCAACGAATTTGAAATGACTCAATTGTATTAGCAAAGAATCTTGCGATTAGGGTGTGGGCCCTCATTGGCCGTTAGCGGTTTCAGTGGATACAAGTCTCTAATGTTTATCCCCTTGGAAACTTAAACGTTCCACCAATATTATACATAAAATTTGATTTATGTGCGAATTATATACTCGTTAGAATGCACGCATGTGGATTTAAAAATGATCACCATTTTTTAACCCATTGGCATCGAGACACAATCTCAGAAAATCTCAAATTAAAAGCGAAACTGCATTTTAGGCAAAGAGCCAAGAAGAACAGATGAAAAAAGACTACGTTCGGTGGGGTTGCTAACCTCAGTCCAGGATATGTCCGGGCCATATTGCAGTCTTAGATCCGATTTTATAGGTGAAGTAATGATGCCGAAAGGTAAGTGGGGAAATTTACTAAATTAGCATCTTATAATAGTCCATTAGGTATTTACAGTAATATAAACAATGTATCCTACATATATTAAATTAGTTAGTAATAGCTGACTTACCACCATAGGCGTATATAGCAGGTGGGCCGGGTGGGCCATGCCCACCCCAGTATCGTCTAGTGCCCACCCCAGGATTTTGGGTTACTGATTCGAAATTCTAGGCTGGATACCTAAGAAACTTCATAAAAAATCACTGAAATGAAATAATTATGTACAGCCGAGAAATCTATGCACTAAATATTTAGTTTTTATTACATACTATTTTACAACACATTCCGTTTATTTACTTGTGAATACACAACGTACTAACTACTAATTAGTTAATACTACTATTATAAATTAATAAAAATTATTAACGATAACGAACTATTACTTTTTTAATGCGACGCATAGTGTTCGATTTTTTTTTGTAGTAAAGGCCCAGGCACACCCTGAAAAATAATTCTAGATACGCCAATGCTTACCACGTGGTACCTATATCCTATCCAAGAAATAATGAACAACAAATAAACAAATAACTTTAAAAATTTTGCGTGTGTAGGTGCGAGTACTTTGTCGTCTTCATAACTTTTAGAATGCCTCGCTTTAATAGTATCTAGAGTAGTGAGCATTAAAAACAATTTAGTAGTAATTTATTTAGTAACAAGACTACTAACAACTTACTCTGTTTCGCCGCTTGCCTATTATATTTATTATATAATATTAAAAAACTATGAGCTTTAATTGTGTTTATCCATTTTAAGGGCGTTTTCGCGACAACAATTTTGGGCCAAGAACGCATACTGGCACTCAAACTTCTCGTAAAGAGTGGAGAAATAATGGCGACAAAAAAACTTTCAGTAAAGGTACAGTTTCAAAAAGTAAATAAATAAAATTTTATGCAATCTATTTAAAAAAATTAATGACTAGAAAGTGTATAAATAAGTTTTTTTCTTTTAGACCTTTTTTCCTTATTAGTTCTTTTAGTTATAAAACAATAAAATTAATATAAATAAATCTGAACGATGAGACCACGAAAGCTAAATCATGCACCACGTAGACAATGGGCTGATAAATGAAAATTTGAATACGACTAAGTGTTGGTCTTCGGTTTTCAAAGTAAAATATGTCATGATCAACATCGTCCGAGTTACTTAGCGATCTGTAACAAATATCAACTTTTTTTTATCCAGGATCTTACGATAGAATATATCAAAACTTTTCAAAGCACCAGTTTTCATCGATTAAACACAAGCGACTCAAAGGTTAGTATCAAATTAATCCTCGATTTCTATAAATTACTATACTTTTTCTATCAGGAAATTTCACTGAGGGGCCAGCGGTTTACAAATGAATGATAAGAAATAACACCGCTCCGGTCAAACGAAAAAATATAAATACTTTTACATTACACCGGATTTCTATAGGCCAGGGGGACCAGGTATCTTGTATCTTGTATTAACTGATGTTTTTGCTTTCAGTCCCGAGACTATTAAAGCTTCATCGGACGCAGAACCGGTGGGCTAGCCAGAACCCACGGGTTTGGACCAGGTGGGACTTTCCTAATTGAGTGGACAATTTATGCAACAGCGGATGCATAAATCTGTCCCACAAATATATATAATTTTTAGTATAATTGAACTATATCATTGATTCTAACGATACAAAATTAACTCATAAAATTAATGTAACGCTAATGTTGTTTCAGCATTCAGACAACGTACGCCATCTACCGATGACTATAGAAAACGTTCTCTTAACATTTCCAACGTATTCCAAATAGAAGCATGCACAATGAAGCCCAGTTGTTACACGAATGAAAGCTGCCAAACACAGAATTTGATGTCGCTTCCTGCGGGTAAATTCGACACCAGCTCCACCTGTATTCTTTCGCCGGCTTTAAGCCTAACCGAAATATGCAGTGGGAGGGACAAAAGTGACTTGAAAACTGTTTACTTTATGTTGTCGGCCATCGAAGGCAGAATAAGAAGACTGAAGCGAAATGTGCGCTCACAGTAGTTTATCCGTCCTCTCATAGATGTCGCTTTTAACAATTGCTTATTTGTCGCTTTTCAGTGTTAAATTATTAGTCAATTAAATTATTGTTTTGTACTAATTGTATCAAATGTTTTATTTAAATCATATGAAGATATGAAGTCACAGTAAAAATATTTCATGGCTGTAATTTACGATTATTAACCAATAACGGTAGCAGTCAGTCATACAAGACCCGACATCTATAGAATAAATATGTTTTATTAGTGCGAAAAAAGTTAAGCTGCGTAAAACTTCATCAAAAAACAAGATTTCGCGAATAAAATGATTTATTGTTAAACAACATAGTTAAAAATAACAATAAAATAGTCGGTTACAATATTACAAAATGTCAATGATTGTTATATGGAGACCGCATTTGCTGAAAAAATTGTAAAAATTGTTATAACAAAACATTCATGTTCTAGTACTACAAATCAATGAACTAGTAGAAATCTATGAATCTATATGTAGATTCATCAATTACTCTTATTACAATCCAAAGTAACTTTGAACCAGTCAGTCAGTTTTAATAAATTTAAAGCGGTATCATAAAACTAGGCATAAAATTATTGTGTTTTAGGTACAATTTACAAGAAACATGATCAAGCACTTGGCAATTTATCTATTTAGAAGCAATTTTAACAGTGTACAATAAAAAGATTTTAATATTTTATATGTAGCGAATAAGTATTTAACATGTTGAAGTGATTATTAACAGATAACATATAATACATGTTTATAATATGAATACACTATATATACAATAGCATGTCCCGCGTGGAACTAGGGGTTCCATATATTTGATCAATGTTGCCAGAAGCCAATAAATGTTTAATTTCCCAAATGTATTTAAATGACAGACCGACTAATGCTTGATTACCACACAACCCGATGGTATATCGGTTACAGTCTTAAACAAAATATTACACTCTAAAAGCAGTCAAGGCGTTCAGGCTCAGTAAAAAAGTTCCAAAACTGGTATGGAGATTTTAAATATTATTAGTATTGGAATGTTCGAGCGTTGAATATCTATACCGAATACCCTAGGTATTTATTTATTAAGAATGGAACAAAATTCAAAGGTACATTTACCATCAGATTAATCATTAGACAATTGGTAATCACGCGAAAATTAAATATGATTTAACAAAACTATTTCACTCGGTATGTAAAATGCGATAAAATCCGTAAAACAGTTAACAATGATTTTATCATTCAAATAATATTTTAATTATTTGGTAAAGATTGTTGGAAGGTTGTTAAATGCAGACAATTATTTTTTAATATAAATTTACACAACACAAACGCCTAACAGAGAACAAGGAACACTTAAAGAACTTTTAACTGATATAGTAAAGCGAAATTTGATTTTTCAAATAAAATTTTATCTTATTTACAATGCTCATTAGCAAGCTTGCCTGAACCTCCATATTGTTTCCATAGATAAATAATACTATAAAATATCACAATTCATCGAAATTATTAAAAATAATATAAAATAATAAAACTATCTTAAGTACGAAGTTTACATAACACCTATAGTTTGCTCAAAACATATGTTGAACAAACAACAATATTAGGACATAAAATATTTATATTTGTAATGAATACAACAATATGTTATGTAATAAAAAAAAACAATATTTTAGGACACACTTTTACTTCATTCAACATTCTCTTGTCCCAAACTAAGCAATGCTTGTACTATGGGTACAAGATAACTGATAAACTTACTTTATATTACACATATATAAACACCCAGACACTGGAAAAACACTATGATAGCACAATATTTTTCCAGTAGTGGGGATCGAACCCACACCCTCTGGCGCAAGAGGCAGACTCACTACCCACTATGAATCGAAGGACCAATAAGAACTTGGAAATTGTCATGTAAACTTCAATGCCGTGCAACTGCGAAGCTTAACGCTATGAACATAACAGTCATTTTACACTAACACCATATTTACAAGATAATGAGAAACACCTACTAAGAAGGTATACTGATGAAACTTTTTTTTTACATTTTGTTACACTTTAGCGTCCGTACAAATACTAAGTAATCCCTGTTTCGTGGCCAACACCGCCGAGCGAGCGATTCTGGACCTTATGCGATGGCAGTAAGCGTCACTATTCCGAATAATTCGTCTTATTTGGCACACAGCCGCTTCCTATGACAGCATCCACTATAACCATTGCGGCGGCACATGAAACCCTGAAAATATATCTTTCTGTATTATAATAATGTATGAAAGGTATTTACTATACATGTGTATGTATAATAAATTCATAAATTTATATGTATAAATACTAAAATATTTAATATGAAATAACATCAGATTAAATTCATATTAATATATTCTATTCACATTGACAATGTCAAAGGGTAATGTAAAAGTAGTATCCCATTGTTTTGTTAATGAATTTTATTCATGATAAACTTAGGTTATAAATATTTTGTCATAGAATGGAAATCCATATATTTGGAGATTATGTCAATATGTTAACTGTAGATTTCAAGTTTCTATTGCTGCAATTAGCAACTACAATGAACTCATTCTGCATATCAAAGCTGTATAAAAAGAATATAACTTTCACACATGATAAACTAATAATACTATTTTCTTTATTGCCTATTATACATATTATACATTTATATTACAATCATTTACGAATATCATCACTATGAAGAAATGTTATTTAGAGCTATGTAAACTACATATGACGTCAGAAATTCCGGAGTTATTACCTACAACCAAAGCTAGCAAGATTTATACTTATTGTTTTCTTGATTTTACGCGAATATTATACATATTAAATGAAACTACTTTACGGATTTTATCGCGTTTTTGACCATGAACGCTGGAAAGTGTTCGAAACGTCGGGAATTTAAATTAAAATAAAAAAAAAAACGCGATAAAACCCGTAACGTAGTTTCATTTAATAAGATTTATACTTGTTTTGTTCTTATTGTATATAATTAAACCCCTCAAAATGTTAGCAATGGCTTAATTTGGAACAAGACTTAGTTCTAATTTTGAATCAGAGTATTGTGTCAACTGTTTTCTATTGAACAATACATGCAGGAACCACTTCTTCTTATTTCAGGTGTATGGAGCTCTCGTTTAGGAATAAATGGGCACTGAGCTCTGCAATGCATTATGCCTTCTCATAAAAGTTGAAAGAGCTCTCTTAATATTTCTCAATATTTCAGGATGTATTTTTTTTTTTAATTCAAAAACTGGCTAGCACTTGACTGCCATCCCACCTAATGGTAAGATGTTGCTGATAAAGTACTATCGATACCTTTCTCTGATAAAGTTACATACATTTCTTATGAAAAAGAAAAAGAATAAAAGGGCACTGTTCATCACACAATAATCATACATACATATCAACGCCCTCTGGCGGAAGAGACTGGTTCACTGTCCAATATAACAAAGTTACAGAACTAAAACTTCGGTTCGTGAAGTTTTAGTTCAATAAATGAACACTAACTTTCCAGACCTCGATGACTCCGTGGCGCAATTGATACTGGATTCGATGCCGAAGGAAGTGGGTTCGATATCAATTACCACACGAGACAACCTTTTTTGTAACTCACAGACAAATGCTTCGGATCAGAGTGTTTGTCCAAGTGAAATTTATGTACGTAAAACATCCTTACAAAACAGAATAACGTTGTTCTACAGTAAGAGAGCATGTTTTTTATTTATCTTTTATTATTTATAAAAACAATACAACATAAAAACTTTTCACCAAATCGTGAACGCAATTAATCGACGATACAGTGCACACTTAGCATAGGTTACACTCGGAGTTAAAAAGCATAACTAAGCAGTAAAATAAAGTGTGTTTTCCGCGCGAAATACATACATACCTCAGGCGTAAAAGAGTTACATACCTCAGGCGAGCGAACGGGGAACGAACACGTGGACCAGCGAATCCCAGCCGCAGTCCGCTATCTGGTGGGGCCTGAGGGTGTTCCAATCCAGTCCGTACGTGAACTCCGAGTGGTGGCGGATGGTCTCCAGCGGTTCGCAGCCGCGCTTCAAGTCCCATATCCTGGACAATAGAACGGATCTCGTGGTTGGACGGCGGTACGGCCACGCAGCAGCCTCGGCTGTTGCACGAATGGGCAGGCCCGTGCGGGTAAGTACCACGAGCTCGCAGAAGACCGTGGAAGTGTGATACTTTCGCGTTTCGTCTGGTGAGTGAGGTGGCCGGTGCCCAATTTCCAAAATGGTTGCCGACGCATCTGCAAACCCTCGGGTGTGGCATAAGTCCACGGGCGGCTGTATTCACTCATCATCAGGTGAACCGTCTGCTCGTTTGGCAACTTGACCCCTACAGAGATCATAGCCGCAATAGATTTTTTTTAATGTGAGAACGTATTATATACGTAATTATATATGTTGAGTGAGGGAAATTTCGATGTTTACGGTAAATCACATTCGTCATCATCATCATCATGATTTCCTTATGTTTCCTGAGGCCACCTGCACCCATCTACTTTTTTTTATGTGACAAGGAGGCAAGCGAGCTGGCAGTGCACCTGATGGTAACTCATAACCGCCGCCCACTAACGTTTGTAACACTCGTAGAGTCCCCCCCCCCCCCCCTCACTCGCCAGACGTAAAGCAGAAGTATAACACTTCCACATCACGCCGGTCTTCTGTGAGGTCGCGGTAATTCCCCGGACGGACCTACCCATTCGTGCAACAGCGAAAACTAGGTTGCGACCCTACCACAGTTATATAAAAAAGCAATAGTGGTCAGATCTTTTCACATTAAATATCATTATCTACACTACGCCAAAGCCGGTGGGCAGAGATGCTCGTCAATGATCCGTCTAAACTAAGGATAACTCACGACTCTACAGAAGCGGAATGGATGCAGTTAGCCAATTATCTGTATTAAATGTGATTCATTGCGACTCTTGAAGTAGGAGAGTCTGCAGAGACAGGTTTTCTGTAAAGTTTCATTCCGACATGGGAAAATAGTTAAATCTTTTCGTTAAATTATTAAGTTACAGATCGAAGCTGACGGACCGTTTCCCTGTATCTTTATGTTTGAGGTATAACTATTATAAGATAATTTCGTAAACCCTTTAATTTTCACTCTGTACGCACCAAGATGTTCATATAATTATAGTTGCATTGTACGTGCTCTTGTTGCCAGGGATCTTTAAAATAACATACCTGGTCGTAAAGTCGTAGGAGACGGCCGCTATGACGGAGGGCGCGTGTGGTGAGAACTGCACCCTTCTTACTGCGCATTCGCAACCTGTAAAAGATATAATACGACATTATACTGTGGTGGGGCAACGCAACAGTTTTCGCTGTTGCACGAATGGGCAGGTCCGTCCGGGTAAGTGCCACGACCTCGCAGAAGACCTGGGCGAAGTGGATGTGTTACACTTCTGCGTCTCGTCTGGTGGGTGAGGTAAGCGGGACCCAGTTGCGTCTGCAACCCTACGGGCGTTGCAAATGTCAACAGGCGGCGGTCATCACTTAACATCAAATGAAATTCCCACTCGCTCCATGCCACATTTTCACATAAAAATAATAATGAATACATTTTAAGTAACCCCTAACTCAAAATGAACGCCTAAGTAAGAGCCAAGAACCATCTCGATCACGTCAGCTTTTAAATATCGATCTATTAGTTTAGAAGCTACTACAGACAAACAAATAGATATATAGACAGACACGTCAAACTGATAAAACCTTTTTTTTTTTTTAATTTTTTCACGTCGAGGGTTAATGACTTTAATTATGATCTTTCAAATATCTCCAAGATTTTCTAAGATTACAGTTTTTTTATTGGTTACAGCAACACCTATTGTCTATACGGATAACGGAAAACGGTTGCGTAAAAGCCATTTTAAAAGGCAGTGCGAACAGTTAACTAACGAAAATAATGTTTTAATTTGCCAATGATTTAAAGAAAGTGTTGACATAAATCAATTCAATTACAATTTTCCTAATTTTACGCTAAGAATAAGAAGTCATTAAACGGAATATTAACGTTTTTGTGTTCACGAATCGCGATGTTTCTAAGTACCCGGGAAACGTTTGAGTAAAGTCAAAACAAAAATATCGATACATGGCCACATACATCCTACCCGATAAAGGAATGTCTGCATAATAACTATTAGTACGATAGAAGTATTTAGTGGCGTCACCATACTAATATCATTAAAGACGGTACGCCTACGATAATAGGAACACATTTTACGTATTTCACAGTCCGTCGTAATTGTAACTAATAAGCGTTGCTATACTAATTTGATAGGGTAAGAAAAAACGAGAATAACTGTTAAAGAAAACTAATTTACGAATATTTTTTTGCATTTCATTAGTCATGATTTGTAATGTTCGAAATGTTATCAATTTAAACCAAAGTAAAACGCCAAAGGAACCGTGTCGTTAAATTCAAATAATTAAATTCAACGTTTCATATTCTAGTCTCTAGAGTCAGTGATTCTCAACCTTTTTTTTTGTTGCGGCACATATTTAACGATTTCAAAATTTGGCGGCACACAAAGAAAAAGATAAACTACAACACACTGCATAAATAGTTTATGACAAAAATTTTAAATATACGAAATAAACTAATATATACTACAATAATAACTAAACGTTTATTAAGGGATTAATTACAAGCTAATAATAAAAATATTTTTAATGCGAAATTTGAGCTTGATGTTTTTTGATAATTTCATTTATATTTGGTCGTAAAAATGACAATGCTACTCTCATATCGTCTTCTACATTTAACAATCTTGATTTTTTTTTAGTTTTAATGTTGGCTAATGCCAAAAAATATTTTTCTTTTTAAATGATATAATTTAATAATATTATCATTATCATATATTTGCAAAATTTGGCGGCACACTTTTGAAATTTGGCGGCACACAAAAGTGCCGCGGCACAGTGGTTGAGAATCACTGACTCTAGAGAATGTTAAAGATAAGTCATTGACCGATCTTTTTTGCGTTTAATTAGTCAGGACCAATAGGATAGATAAGGATAATTCAATATTTCATCTTCTATTATTAGTTAGTTATGTTCGCAACACAGTCGTTTATACTGTTAATAGGTAAATACCTTTTATAGGGTATTTATTAAGAGCCGAGAATTATTGAGAGAATTATAGAGCAGTAGTTATTTGACCTAAACCGAACTTGAACAAGCGCTAAGGCCATTCAAATTTAACTTTTAGTGTTAACACTCACTTCCCGTTTTTCTCGTTTTAAGTTTTTAGGTGCATTTATTTTTAATAATGTTGTGCATACTTGTAATAGGCATATTTATGTAAGAAAGTGGCAAGGTAGCTGGTGGTTCACCTGATGGCAAGTGATAACCGCCCATGGACATTTGCAACATAACGTTGCCGATGCGTTGCCACCTTTTAATAAAGTGGGCCCCGGCTACCTCACTGAGAATCACCACTTCCACTTCTCGCCGTTCTTCTGTTAGATCATGGTACTTACCCGGGCGGACGTGCCTATTCCTGCACACTGTTGCGTGGCTCTACTACAGTAAATGTGGCTACGAACACATTTCACTATACATCATGCTCTTGGTGTATCTAATTAAATAAATATAATAAATTCATGTACCGGTCTATTTATATCATGCTGTTGGTGTAAATAAATATAATAAATTCATGGTAACGGTTGAGAATCGAACACGGGAACAAACCTTTGAGTGTGAACATTGGGGTGGTCAGTCTTCTCAAGTCCCAGCCGCGGATGAGCCCGTCCGAGCCAGCCGTAGCCAGCGCGTGGCTCTCCGTCCTACTCCAATCGCAAGACAGCACCTGCAAGTTGCCCATCTCACTATCTGCCGCTAATCTGATTACCCTCAATCTTTACACCGTAAAAAGTAAAGTAACAGCCTATATATGCCCACAGCTGGAAAGGCCTACAGAGGGTATCAGGGCATAGTCCACCACGCGGCCCCACCGCGGGTTGGCGGACTTCACATATCTTCGATTTTTTTTGTTATTATTTCGAAAATATGCAGGTTTCCTCACGATGTATACCTTCACCGCGGAGCACGTGATAAGTCAGCACTTAAAGTCAAAAACTTTATTAGTGCCGGCACCGGGGATCGAACTCAGGTTGCTTGAGTATATAGAATTAAAGGCGAGCACCCGGACACTGAGCTATCACGGCTTTCTTTCATTATTGTTTTTTTTTTGTTATTTGAAAATATGGATGTTTCCTAACGATTTTTTTGTTCACTTCCGAGCGAGTGATACGTCAGCACTTAAAAAACAATTTCATTGGTGCTGGCTCCAATGAAGTTGTTTTTTAAGTGCTGGTAGAGAGAATGACACTTCTACTACAAACAGCCGAAGCTGTTACGTGGCCCTAACACAATAAACGGACCCATGGGTCATGGTACTCTATAAATTGTATAAAGCGGTATCTGATCTCGAACTGCGTCGGCCTGCCACGGACTTCCAAAGCTCTTGAAGTCCTCCTCCATTAAATGGAGCGGTCATTGACCGTGGTATTGCAGCACCTCTGGCTTTCTCGTGTCCTTACATCTTGAAGATTATAAAAGGCGGTCACTGACCTCCATCCGCAACCACGTCTCCAGGCCAAGACTTACTAAGGGGGTCAATGACCTCGACATTTCACCGTCTCCGGTATCCTCATGTCTTAAGGCCCTATAGGTAACATAAGGCGGTCACTGACCTCCATCCGCGTCCACAGCTCCAGCTAATGACCTAACGAAGGGGGTCACTGACCTCGACATTTCACCGACTTCCGCAAGTTCTAAAACCCTTTATGTTGCATTAGGCTTAGGCGATCGCCGACCTCCATCCGCGTCCATGGCTTCATCTCAAGACCTACCGAACGAACATAGCTGAGCTGCGGCACCATAGCGTCAGCAAATACTTCGGAGGGGGGAGGTCACTGACCTCGGCATCGTGAGCCTTCACCGCCGCCGCCGGCCTAGCTGGCTCCGCGCAAGTCCACAGCTTCAGGTGGCCGTCGCCCGACACCGTGGCGAACGTGGCCGGCGAGTGGGGCGAGAACGCCGCCGTGTAGACCAGCTGCGAGTGGCCCGAGAACGTGCTGAGGCACGCCTCCGATTCGGGGTCCCACTAAATTGGACGGAGTTAGTTAGTGGGCGTTCAAATATTCACTGTAGAGTGATGTGTGACAGCGTTGGTATACTGTAAAGTTTCTCTTTCTATTATTTTCTTTTCAGTTTTATTTCCTATACTGTAATGTAAGTGGTGTCAAGCATTGCTTAGCATGGTGGAAATGCAAAGCAGATGTTGAGGTCATCAGTTAGCTCAGTTGGTTAGAAAGTATTTGCGCGTTGCCTTCAAGACTCAGATTCGAAGCCTGGCAGCGCCGATAATTTTTCATTTAATCTTTATTTCTACAACTTAAGCTAAAGACTAGGATCTGTTAACATAATTCTTGATGGCATTCTCTACCAGTCAACTATTTTCATGGTGAAAGGCAGACGGCAGAGGAAAAAAAGTAAATATATTAATAATATCTATGAACTCATATATAAATTAACGGGACACTCCTAGTCTAGTTATAGTAATGGTTACGAAGCAAAGGTAATTCCCCGAACATGTTCTCAAATCCTGGCATAGTCATAGTAACGGATGCGAAACAAAGGGGATTCCCCTGCACCCACCAGTTTGACGGTGGTATCCCAGCTGGCGCTGAGCAGGTGCGCCCTGGGCCAGTCGACGGAGCACACCTCAGCCCGATGTGCCCTCAAGACACGGAGCGGCGCCGCGCAACCGCCCCTCCACACCACCACCGCCCCATCACCAGCCCCACAGGCCGCCACGCCGTCACCAGTCCCCGACCACGTCTGCAAGGGCAGGAGGATGACTAGATCACGTCGAACAGGTGCAGGTATGAGCGTCGAGAACTGAACCCCACGACCCGAACATTGTCTTAGGGGTCGCACCGTCCCCCTAAAATGTGAGCCTTATGTATAAAATAGAATGAAGATGACGAGGTTACGTCATGTCTAGGGAATGCGAAGTTCAAAGGATGCCTAAAGTACCTAAACATTCCCGATAGCTCATACACCAAACACAATGACTCTACATAATCTTTACATATAAAAATTTTAGTTTGAACACACAAAACTCAAAAACTAACCGATGGACTGACATGATATTTCTTCACATTATAGCTATTGTATATTATTGTTATTGTGGAGAGTGCCTTTACATACCTTTTATTCAGAAGTTCCAAAGGAAAAAAGCCCCAGTGAAACTCGGCTGTGTTTAGTTCCCCTTATATGCATAATTCAAAGTCAAATTACATATAAGTAAGTATACAAAGGAACAATATGTTCGGAAAACTTGAAAACCAATAAAAACTACTGTAACAGGGCCACTTTAAATTTGAAAGCAATCATATCCTGGTAAAACTTAAATTTTCTTTTACCCATTGATACAATAATTTTATTCTAGTGCAGTTATTTTCATTACTTTCAAAAAAACTTTGCATAACATAAACTACAATAGGATGTTATCTCTAAATAAACTTATACCATTTAATGAAAATACTAAACTAAATTAACCTATATGGTATACTTCCACAATATAATAGTTCCATTGACCGTTGAACAATACTTCCGAAACAACAATTAATACAAGATTAAAAAAGGATTATACCTTTATTTCTTATTTTGCCTAAATATCATTAGATTAAAAAGCCATCCTTTAACTACGCAACAATGTCATTTGTTCTTAAAAGTCAGATCAGAACCAGTTACCCTCCAAGACAAACCAAACTATCAATGTAAGGACTCACTACAAAACAAGCAAAGAAATTATCAACTTCCCTAATCCGCTGTCAACCTTAATCTGAATTATGCCTGAAGGTCAAGAACAAAATCCTTTAATGCTCAAACTGCTAAAACAAATTCTCTACAACAATATGTAATTTTCTGTCAAGAAAGACACAAACATACAACTACATTACAAATAAGTCTGTGGAATAAACAAATTAAAACTTTCACTAAATATGCTAAATAACATTATTTTTAAATCAAGAGGAACAGGGTGCAAAACACTGGGCCATCTTTAATTAATAAATGTCATGTATTTACATAATGAAATCAAACATTTATCAGACGCCAACAATCAACTAATCCAATAAATATTAAATGTAACAGTTTTTCTTGGTTGCTTAAGTAAATATATATTATGTACACGCAAAGAAACAAATAAGCCACTTAAATGCTGATGTAAAGTATGCACACGTAACCCAGCAGTAGGGCTTCATGTGTACGTTCTTGTCCTTTGCACTCTCTATTATGATACTGTTACATGGTTTACTTTTAGCCTGTTAATGTAAATATGGACCTTTATTTGCCATAATAACAAATATTGACATATACCGGTATTTAATTATTCAATAAAGTAATAAAATTTTAGCAAAAAAACATCCAGAAAACATTTACGAGCTATATTAAACAGTAGGGAATTAAAAAGCAAATAAAAAGTCAAGTAAAATGAGAATTTGTAATTCTTATAATTATGCAGGTGGCTAAGGATTGTACTTCATGGCAGTCTATGGGGGAGGCCTTTGTTCAGCAGTGGACTCAAACAGGCTGAAATGATGATGATGATGTATCTTAAACTTTACTTGCTTTAAATAAAAATTTTATAACTGAAGTAATATTATCTTACATTGTATGAATGCCTATATACCAGTACTTGTCCTGAAGTGGAACACAAATGCAATATGGAGGCCTATTGTATAATAACCACACCAAAATAGCTTTCAAATCAATTTATGTATGCTTGAGTTCATCAATGTGCCAATATGAAATTAGATTCAGTTAATTTTAGCTTTATGCAAAACTTAAAAAAGGATATATTGTATTGAAATGGTCATGACTTAAATCACAGGACAAAGAGATAAATAAATTAAAACTATAATGCAAGATGTAGGTATATGATTGATGTATACATGATCTCTTTCTTTACAATGATTTGTTTAATACCAATATAATAGAAATCTCCAGACAGCTATACGTATGTAAATATTATATTATGTAATGTAATAAATAACCATATGAGAACATAAATTATTAACTATGTTACACACTAAAAGGACGAAAAGGCTGTAAATTAAATGGAAATCAACAATAGTAATCAGAGAAGAAATGGCTTACAGTTTTTTATTTCATTCAATATAGGAAATAGACAAGGAAAATAATATAATGCTATATAATGTTATTGAACTGGATCGCATAATTTATTCAATTAAAACCTTCATATAACACTATAACTAGTTTGATCCCATTTCTCAAAATTCATTATTTAATAACTGCAATCAACTGGCTCATTTTGACATAAATAGTAATAAAACTTCATCGTACATACAGGGTGGCTTTTCTAACGGTGCCCAAATTCACAAAGGAGCTTCAGACTCAGTAGTATAATTGTTTATTGAAATAAAAACAAACTTTTTTTTTTCAATTGCCGTTTCATCTAAAAAACAGAACTTGTTGACAATGCGGTAGTCATTCATAAATGCGTCATATATTTTTAAAAACGAACTTGTGTGCGTGTTAGTTATGAACGATCATGTGTAAAATAAATGAGTTGCCCATAATCACTTTTTGAGATAAGTTCAAATGAATGTATTTAATTAATTACGAGTCATTTTGAATATTTATATTTTTTATATAACATTATTTATGTCTAGAATTTAATAAAAAAATGGATACACTTAAAATGTCTCCCTATATAAAAATAACTGAGAACAACTTACCACATCAAAAAGACCATCACTCCATTCAAGTTTCTGCAACTCCAATAGTGTTGTACCATCTGGTGCCAATTCCAGAAAGAACAGAGTCCCACCACCGGCAAGGCCATAGTATTGACTTGTTGCCACTGCCAGGGAATCAGGCCTTGTGCGAGAGAATCGCACACTGTATCCATGCCTGCCTGGAGTAAGGAAGGTAGGCATGCTGAGGGTATAGCTGAAATAACAATTGACAGTTAAGAACATATTTATATCACACAATTAGTACCAAATGAACACACCTAATTGAATCTTCTGTTGTGAAACTTATATACTATCAAAAAAAATCAATACACAATGTGTTCAGTGAATATTTACTTATCAATCACATTTTCTGATAGATACCACTAATATTAAAAGTATAATTATATATAAGACTTTACTTAGGTACTTTGATAATTCCTAAAATACAGGCAACATAAACATAGAAAGTTTAAAATTTAGAGATTATTTGTAATGATTTACCAAGAGTATGTTTTTATGTTTACCTACATTTCTTAGAATGAATATATTTTATTTCCCAAAGTACATGATTCACTATAAATATATGTATTAGTTCTATAGGCAGATAAAATAAGGGAGCAAAATAAGTGCCTGCACTAAACTATATCTAAACCAAATTGTTTATGTGCCACATGCTAATTAATCAACTTCAAGCAATCAGAAATTTAAATTTAAATTGTTTATAGTGCTAATCTTTGCACTTAAGATTGAACATTACTTTTTCTACATATTTTAATGTTCAAGCAATCATTTAAAATTAATTTTAGATTAAAGCTATTGTAAAAATACAAAATATTGGTGCACAGTATAGACTGTATGTACAAATATTTTCTGCTACTCGCTTAAAAAGTGCCAAGAGAAAGCATGTTAGATTTCTATGTGAATAATGGTTAAACTTCTGTCAGAATAAAAAAAAAACTTGTAAGAACATCTATTAAAACTTTGTTACAAAAACAAAAGCTTCCGTAAATCCTTACTTTTCTTAATAATAAACAAATTAACAACTATTGTTATTTGAAATTATGAATTAATTTGTTAGTTCAAGTTTATAATTAATGGTGAAATACGAGAACTTCAAATTAGCCCAAAATAACTAATTGATACTAACCGGCACAACCAATTCAAAGTCACATTTCTTACTTATAGTCTATATTAACTAATTAGATTCTTATTAGTTATCAATTTTATATCAAGTTATCGGTTTCTTTAAAAAATAATAGTATCTAACTTCTTAACCTATTTCTTAAAATGTCAAAACATAACGTCAGTCTCAGTATTACTATTACCAATAATACCATATACTTATTTTAGTTTAGACACAAGTAAGAAAACATCGATACCAAATTATCGATTTAATTATTGCGCGAATGCGTCACGCGATTTTAATCCTATTTGTACACCTACAGCTAAATCCTATTAGTACGTTATTCAATTCTGCAGGAAACCTCACACATCTGCCTATATAAGCGCAGTATATTCCGACTTAGAGCATTTCTGGTGAGGCCACCAAACCATTACCTCTATTGAAGAAATCAAAAATCCTTTTAATTCATATTTTTCTTTTATCCTTCTCCAGAAAAGTATAGCAAGCAACATGCTTGATTTACTTTCTTTGGTCCTAGTGGTCGCTGTTAAAGTATTTAAGAAAACTACCCCAAATGGCAAGGTTACTGTTTACCTCGGCAAACGCGACTTCATTGATCATGTGGAGCACTGCGATCCCATCGACGGAGTTGTGGTTGTTGACACGGAATATCTGAAAGGGCGAAAGGTTTACAGCCAGGTAAATAAGTGAAGTGTTAGTGTTAGCATTTACAGTGACCAATGGAGTAGCATTTTTCTAACCACGACATGTTTATACGCAGCTCGTCACTACCTACCGCTTCGGTAGGGAAGAAGATGAAGTCATGGGAGTGAAGTTCTCCAAGGAGATGGTTATCGGCCAGGAACAAGTAGTCCCCATGATCAACTCTAAGATGGAATTAACACCTGTACAGGAGAAACTGCTGAAGAAACTGGGACCTAATGCCTTCCCATTCACCTTTACCTTCCCTGAAATGTCACCAAGCTCGGTAAAAATATTACTTTTTTTCATGGTACATATTTTTTTACCAGAATGTCATACCTTATGAACTATTTTGCGAATGTCATCAGGTTACACTACAACCATCTGAGGAAGATCAGGGCAAGCCTATGGGCGTGGAATACTGTGTCCGTACCTACGTGGCCGAAAGTGAAGACCAAAAGAGCCACAAGAGGAGCTCTGTGACTCTTGCTATTAAGAAGGTAGTTTTGCCCACACAAAACCAATTCCATATATTTTTTACCGATGCCATATACGACTTTTTTCTTTACTACAGCTGCAACATGCCCCAGCGTCTCGTGGTCGCCGCCTTCCTAGCTCCCTCGTGAGCAAGGGCTTCACTTTCAGCAATGGAAAGATCAGCCTTGAGGTCACCCTGGACAAGGAAATCTATTACCACGGCGAAAAGATCGCTGCCAACCTGATCGTCTCGAACAACTCCCGCAAATCGGTGCGCAACATCCGCTGCATGGTCGTTCAGCATGTTGAAATCACAATGATCAACTCGCAGTTCAGCCGCCATGTCGCCTCTCTGGAGAGCCGTGAGGGCTGCCCAGTCACACCCGGAGCTAGCCTGTCGAAGACTTTCTACCTTGTGCCACTGGCTCGCAGCAACAAGGACATCCGTGGTCAGTTCCATAGTTGAACCGTAGTTCTACAATTACTCCTTACCTTTGTACGTATTTTAATTTGGCCAATGACAGCACTATTAATGACGCTTATTTCACAGGTGTGGCTCTGGACGGACACCTGAAGGAGGACGACGTGAACCTGGCCAGCTCCACCCTTGTCTGCGAAGGCAAATGCCCTGCCGACGCTATTGGTATTGTCGTGTCCTACTCCGTCCGCGTCAAGCTGAACTGCGGAACCCTTGGCGGTGAACTCGTCACCGATGTGCCCTTCAAGCTGTTGCACCCCGCCGATGGTAAGAATATGATGAATTCAAACAACTTCCATGGTTTCTCAATGCTAAAATGAGAGTAGCTAATAACCTACATCCCATCCTTTGTCAGGAACTGTTGAGCGCCAGCGATTCAACGCTATGAAGAAGATGCAGTCCATCGAGAGACACCGCTACGAGAACTCGCTTTATGCCAACGAGGAGGAAGACAACATTGTTTTCGAGGACTTCGCCCGCCTCAGGATGAACGAGCCTGAATAAACAGTTCAACAACACTGAAAAAACAAAAAAAAAGAAAAAATTTCACAAAAAATCTACAAAAAAATGTAATCAAGCAAGTAACGCGACCACTTAACCTCCTCCATCATACAATTAGGGCCTACGGAATATTTTAATTATCTAGAACATGTTAATCGAACAGTAGCACTCCATTCAACTTTTCTTTAACCGATTTAATTATTCAAGTTATTACAGAGAACGTTATATAATTATCGACATTTAAAAATAATCAACATAATATTGTGTGATGCTTATTCGGTAGTTACTCATAAAATTATATAATCAGCTAATAACAAAAAGAATATTATTTCAATTATTACCTTATATCCGTGTCCTGTAGTCAAATTTAACAAATTAATTAAAATATTCTTCACCAGAAACGATGTCTTTTATTTACGTTCACAAATTTGCTCCTAAACTTTGTTTTATTAATTCGAAGTAACCTCTAGAGCGGCTACTGCATTACTGACAATTTTAAAAGATGCATTAGAAGTCATGACCTTATTTGCATATGCTATTGTGCCTGACAATTTCGACGGGGGTTTAAAGCATCGTAGTTTTTATACCGCTTGGACTCTCGTTCGAATTTAAAAGGGGTAACTATTTGTGAAGCAATAAACATTTTGACCAACATTGGAAAATAGATCTTATTATTTTATCATTTGGCCATGTAAAAATAACGTGCCAATGAATAAACATTACAAATAAATATTAACATAAATGTATTAGTATAAAATATAATGATGAGCCGTGATAGCTCAGTTCCCGGGCGTTCGCCTTTAATTCCATATACTCGAGCCACCGAGTTCGATCCCCGGTGCCGGCACCAATGAAGTTTTTAACTTAAGTGCTGACTTATCACGTGACCGCGGTGAAGGAAAACATCGTGATGAAACCTGCAAATTTTCGAAATAATACCCTCTGTATAGAGGAGGCCTTTGCCCAGCAGTAGGTCATGTATAGGCTGTTATTTTACGTTTTTAAAATAAAAGCTTATAAAAGACATTCCCATATCAAATACAAACCAATTTTACTTAACATTAACATAATATGGATAACATGACCTTCCTTTGTCAGGTTTCACATTACCTCGATGCTATAGTCTCCCTTTTCCAGTCCTATTGAATTTCAACCGTAGCAAATTCGTTACTTCGGTCAATGAACTTAGGTTTAATTTGGTAATTTGTTATCCCCGACTTTAATGTGGCCTAGAAAATTAACAGCCTATAAATGTCCCACTGTTGAAGGCAAGCCCACCGCGGATTGGCGGACTTGACATTTGTTCGAAATATTTTTTTTTTTTTTGTTATTATTTTGAAAATATACTGAATTAAAAACTAGCGCCCGAACAGTGAGCGGCTTGAATAACAATCCAACAATATTTTTTTTAATATTTAATTAAATCATTTCCGTATTAAATTTATTTCATTGTTCACTCTAAGAGGACACTTTCTCTGAACTTTACGGCTATTTTGGATATCTGCCCTATATCGCACGCACGAATAATTGCGCGGCCTTACACAAGACATTTGCCACACTTGCAGATGCGTTGCCAACCACCTTTTAGTAAAGAGGGCCGCGGTTACCGCACTAACCAGACGAAACGCAAAAGCGAAAACGCATCTACAGACTGCACGCTGAGCTTCTGTGAGATAGCGGTACTTCTCCGGACCGATCTGCCTATTCGTGCAACACCGAAGTGAATGTGAAACGAGACAGTGAATTTTCTTTGCTCTTGCTATAAATAAGTCACTCGTCCCCTCAGTTCCAAAATTCAATGGTTTCCCAGTAAAGTTTCTCTTCGTAGGTGACGAAATATGAAATTCAAAATAAATAGCAGCATTATTATAATGCAGAATGGATTTCGATACCACAAGCTGCGGTCCATTGATATTTTCTTTCATCTCAGTCGCGTGTCTGTATTCTGAATTGAATAACAATGGAAGATCTTCAAGAGAAGGGCCTACTGTTTGGTGCAACCCTAAATACAGCAATGATAAAATATGTCAGTTATTTTATAGTAAGAGTCATAATTTCTGTTTGCTATCCCATGCGAGTGCTGTAAGCTTTGTACGTAACTTTTCTTTAGTGAAACACGAAAGAAATTATTTTCGGAGACTGATTACTTATGCTTTCCTTTTCTCAAATTTAAGTAGGAAAATTGATCTATCAATATATTCTTATTTTTTTTTAAATCAACAGCGTAATGAAACCAACAACACAATTAGTTGCGAAGGCTTTAACAGTATTAGGCAATTAAAAATGAAACTGTAGCGGGTAAAAAATTAGAGCAATAGACTGGACCTATTTCGCATTCTTTGAGAGTATTTCACTCGGTTTAAATAATATATTTGATCATTATCGATGACAGCACAGAAAACAAATACGAATAAGTACGTGACGATGTGTGATTTCAATAATTAGAAAAAAATATCCGTGATATTTATTCTGCTGTTGCAAAATATCAAAACCATATTCACAATGCACATATTTGTATACCAGTAAAATTATGTACGTTGATAATTTTATATTCATTTGTTGTAGAAATACAATCTATAAAAGTTTTATCATTAATTTTGTTGTGTGTGAGTTCTACATTTGCAAAAATATTTTCTCATGGTCGTCTCACCAGTTTTGGACAATGCATATAGCTATACTAAGAAAGCGACCTTTGGTTCTATACTTTTCGAAAGAATTAAGGGTTAGTCCAATAACCAGTTTGACCACTTTTTAGAGTGATAAAGGGCAGTTTTAAAATGACCCTTTATTTGTATGACGCCTTGGTATCGTGACATACAGTCGTAAAGCTCGATTTTAACAAAGGATAAGAGTTACTATGAAACAAAAATAATAGAATATAACAGAACAAGAATAATAAAAAATAGTTATTAAAATAATATCAAATATAAATTTTCAAAACAAAAATCATACATTAAATAGAGATATTTTACATAGAAATTTTGGCATAACCGTTCGTATTGACATTTTCACTTTTACTTATTTTTTGTTCAATCTTAACAAGGTAAATAACCGCTTTAAGTAAAAATAAAACAAAAAGGCAGCCTTATTACCTTGTGCATTAATGGATGTCACAAAAAAAAATTCAATAAACCAATTCGAAGAATAAAAAAATTATAAAATTATAAAACACATTCATCTAATGATGTGCGACGCACGTACAGACAGTGTGTCACAGCTGCATTAATATATGCACGACACATCGTAGCAAGTGCAAAAGGGAGACCATTGTCAATGGACAGTGTTAACAATGAGAAGCGGCTCCCATAGGACACTCGCTAGAGACGAGGGTCGGCGTAACAGTGGACACATTTCCCACGAAATCGAACTGGACAAACCAGTTCATTAGACAATCGCAAGGAGTTATTCGCGAACCCTTTGACCGTACGAATCGTGCTAACGGTTATTCCGCAAGGATTATTTGCCGTACTGTTTATTTGTGTTCTGTACAGTACGGTAACGATACTATGAACGTTGTGCTACCAAAGCTTTCTTTTATAATGATTCTTAACGCTAGTTAAAGCGATTTATGTTTTCTTTTTCGTAAGGATATTTATATTTTCGTTTGGATAATACATCCGCGGTTACAACTTTCGGGTTCGGGTTAGTTCTAGTAGTGATAAAAACACAAGTTTCGTTAGCATAACCTTTAATTAACAACTAGATTACTCTGATATTACACTGTTCGAAATCCATGGATAGTTTTGCTTTCATTACTAAATTTCAAGCAGATATTAAACTTAGAACGGGGTTATGCAAGAGCCCGCATGTACCGCAGTGTAACTATTACGTTGATTGCATACACAATTGCTGCTGAGATAAGATTGTGTTATTGTCCTACAGTTAGATCTTATGTCTGTCCGGTGGGAAAGTTAACGGCTGCCTGTGTTTACTTTTAATATTTTTATAACGAACCGTTTTACTCTTTATGAACTTCAAATGAGTGAGAAATACGCTGACAAATTAAAACTTAATAAATAAATGATGTGGAATTCTAATATGTTTGGTTTCGAAACTTCGTCTCAATGTCTCGGGGGTTATTTTAGAACCATTTTGTATTTTGGATTCAAAATCAAAATCAAAAATATATTTATTCAAATAGACACTTGCGCGCTCTTATGAATCGTTTACATCAAAAATTATGTATATAGGTTCGTAAGGTACCACTTCTACCATTCTACGTGCAATGCACGTATAAAGTATCAGCCTATACATGTCCCACTGCTGGGCAAAGGCCTCTTCTGTACATAGGGTATCAGGGCATAGTCCACCACGCGGCCCCAGTGCGGATTGGCGGACTTCACATATCTTCGAAATATTTTTTTTTTATTATTATTTCGAAAATATGCAGGTTTCCTCACGATGTTTTCCTTCTACGCTGAGCACGTGATAATTCAGCACTTAAAATTAACAATTTCATTGGTATGGCACCGGGGACGAACTCAGGTTGCTCGAATATATTGAATTAAAGGCGAACGCCCGGACACTGAGCTATCACGGCTGTTTTTGTTGTTTCGTATTCGTATTTCGTAATTCGTAGATGTTTTTGTTGATGCATAAAGTTAAATTATAATTTATAATATTGTTTCTGGTGGTTAAAAATGTTTTTTTTAAAGTGAATGCTCTATAAAAATTCAATATGAACTTACAATCAATTAACTTTTAAGTCAATTTTTATTAAATAATAAAACAATTGTGTATCATTTTGAATACAATACAAAAAATATAAAGGCTAATTATCAGCCTTTTGAATGTTTTGATTAAGAGATGTAAGACTCACGCCCGGTTTCTGAAACACTGATCATCGTAGATGTCAAGTAATCAGCTGTCAAATGGCTTTTCAAATTTCATTTTAGTTGCCAAAAGGATGGTGAAACTCTCTGAATTGAACAAAATGATCTTCTTAATGATCAGAATGAGACTGATAACTTGACTTAATCATTAATCTTAATAACGAATAA